ATAATAACAATTCAAAACTTATAATAGAAAACCTGGGGGTGTTTGCTCTATAAAGACAACCTAATTCAAATCTTATAATAGAAAACCTGGGGGTGTTTGCTCTATAAAGACAGCCTAATGTTGAGTCTTCTCACCCCAGTACACCAAGGGTCCATCATCTACATGGAAGTGTGGACCTTTGGTGAATAAAAAATTAAAAAAATGATAATAATTCAAAACTTATAATAAATTAGGAAATTGCCCAATTGCCAAGGGAGGGGTGGTCCACTGAATCACCTCTTTTTAATTTTTTTTAAAAACAAAAAGTCAAATAAATAAAATTTATTATAAGTAAAAAAAAAAATTATGGGAATTGGGTTATTTAGCACGGCTCCCTAACCGAAGATATATGGTGGGAACAAGACCACTCCAACCAATTTTCAATCCAGATTGGGCAACTTCATTTAGATTGGAGTTTTTTTAAACCGAGTCCTAACTATCAAGATCCTGACATCTTTGTACTGGACTTTCATTTGTGTTTTTCTAATTGTATTATGTACCCCGTTTCCATACGTTAAAAAAAAAAAACCGAGGTGTAGTTTTGCATGATCTAATCGAGGTTCGAATCCTCGACCTTGCACGTTTCGCAGCTGTCTTACTAAATCCAAATGGAGCTCTCGCTTTTACACACTGATTTGGGGGCTTCACTTCAACATTTAACCAAAAAAAGTAGAAAAACCAAATTAATTAGTCCTCGTTTGTGTTTGTTTAAATTAATTAATCCTTGTTTGTGTTTGTTCCTAAGGTGAAAGGTATTTCACACTGAATGCTCACTAAAAACCATAGCTCGCTTCTAAATTGAAAGCACCCTTGTGAAAATAAATGGAAATTTTTCAATAACTTTAGACATGAAAAATGCTTCTCAATAATTTTAGAAATGAAAATGATCGTGTTATTCTCCGTCAGGTAAAAGATGTACTTAAGTGGTCGTTTGGATGCTTGGAAATACATTTCCAGAAATGTCTTTCAATGGACATGGCATAGTTCTGTCGTATGAATTGAATTTTCAGGGCTGCAAAGTATTTCTGCCAATAATTGTTTTCCTCATTTTAAGCCAAAAATAAAGAAATTTGTTGTCTTTACTCTCCGAAATTGATTTTCAGCTAGATTCATTATAAAATACAATTAATTCCACAAAAACACAGCCACAAGTTAGAGAGAAAGTATTTCAAATTTTACATTTTAGAAATAGAGTATTTTAAAATTTTAGAGAGAGAAATACTTTCTAATTTTAAAAAGGGAAACTATTGAAAATTTTTATAAAGAAAAACTATCCCAAAAATTTTATTGAGAGAAACTATCAAAAAAAATTTAGAGAGATAAACTATCTCAAATTTTAAGTTTTACAAAGAGAGTACCTGAAAATTATAGGGAAAGAAACTTTCTCAAATTTTAAGTTTTATAGTGAAAGTACCTAGAATTTTTTAAAGATAAACTATCTCAAAAAATTTAGAGAGAGAAGCTATCTCAATTTTAAGTCTTAGCGAGATAAAATATCTCAAATTTTAAGTTTTATAGTGAAAGTACCTAAAATGTTTTTCAAGAGAAACTATCTCAAAATTTTTAGAGAGAGTAGCTACCTCAATTTTAAGTCTTAGAGAGAGAAACTATCTCAAATTTTAAGTTCTAGAGAGAGAAAGTACCTGAAAAGTTTTAAGAGAAACTATGAAACTTCCCATTTAGTTTTTTTCGAATGCAGCAATCAATTAAAACTCCAAAAGCACATCTCAATTTCACCCACCCAACTCTGATTCTATGTGTATTATCATACTATTGACCCTAGATGTAAAAAATGATCTCTTTTAAAAACTTGGCCATCAATCTTAACTACTACATCATTTCTACTCCTATAACTAATAAAATTATATTTCATATATTATGTTTTAATTTGGTTAATTTTAAAACTTTTAAATTCTAAACATCCCTCTAAAAGTCTAACTTTAGTTTGATACCATCTCTATTCTTATCAATCAAAACTATGTCATTCACGAACAGCATATATCTCATCCTGTATATGACAATTTAACGCGTTTATAACTAAAATAATAAAAAATGGGCTCAATATTGACCCTTAATATACACCTAGTGTCTCTAAAAACTTACTTCTCTCTCTACTAGTTGTCCTCACACTTACTAGCACTCCCTCGTACTTATCTTCCGCTTCACACAATCATTAATGGACTCAAAGATACCCTCGTACTTATCTTCCTCTTACACAATCATTAATAGACTCAAAGATGCCAGGCTGAGGCTTACATTTTATTACATAATAATGGATGAGCTCAAAGTAGATGGAGATTTAACTTTCTAGAAATCATATATTTTGTAAAATATTATTTCAACTATCCATTTATAAGTCCACCAAAATTGTAGAAGCTTTTATGAGCCAAATTTAATAACCAGGAGTGCAAATTCATATTTTCAGGCCATGCCTTGGTGATTCTACTCATCTTGAGATATTACTTCTTTTTTCATTTTAAAAGGTTGAAGAAGCGACTACATTTGATATCTAAAATACTCCTAGATACAAACCAAAAAGAAGGGTTTATAAGTCTATCTCTGCATGTCACAACATACATAGGTGGGTACTCAAATGTATTCGAATATAAATTTGCAGAGCCTACCACTACCCCATACACATCTTGTGCCTGTCTGATTTAAATAACGGTGCGGGTTGTATAAAGCCAAGCTCCCAACAATCAAAGTAAAGCCCACCTTCAAGTAGTATCGAGAAATATGGTGGGGAATCTTTGTGTGAGCTTTAAAATATATTTTTTTATCTTTAGTTAAAAAATTTACAATTTCAAAAATAATATCGATCGTGTAGATCTATAAAAACTTGAAAATCTAAAAAATTAACAGTCCAAAAATGCATTACATGATACACTATTTTCAAAACTTAAAATCCATTATTTTCTCATGTTTGTATTTTGATGTCGAGATGATCAATTTAAAGATATTTGAGCAACAAAACAACATTTTTGAAGTAGGCTCCAATTTGATTATTTAGAGCCTTGGCAAATAAAGAAGTGGGTCATCGTCCATAGCAAACCTTTAACCAATGTTGTCTTACGAGCCTTTTTCGGTTTGGTAAAAACAAAACGAATCAATTCAACCGATTTCGAGGAAGACTTCGGAATTTTAAAAATAATAATATAAGTGACATAGATATAGGGAAGGGTTCTATGCTTCCTCTACAGCATAGAAGTTCTATCCCCCCCTATCATCCAGTCATCCAATTTTGATCGAGATAGCCACTCACCATTTGATCTTTAGATCTGACGTCTCAAAAGTAATCTATTTTTAGTCTTTTTTATACAAATTGTATGAATATAAAATTTGGTACGTGTCATCTTCTCATTGGGGCGCACCTATAAAAAATATTACAAATAATTTTTCGAAAAAAAATAATGACCAAAATACCCCTTGAACCTTTCAAAGGTATTTTGGTCATTTTATTTTATTGAAAATATTTTTTTTATATTTATCGCTAATGGGAATTTAATAAAAGAATAGATGTCCAAATTTTGGTGTAAAAATAGTTTATAGAAAAAAAAAAGGTATAAAAACGTGACATTGTGATTGGGGCAATCTTGGCCTTCCATTCAGAATGGACAGTTGAATAAAGGAGAGGAGGATAAAACTACTAAGCATAGAAAGCTTACTCATATATATATATATATAAACACTACACAAAGCTTAGAGGTGAAAATGAATAGTGAATTCGCTTATATTCATCATCGTCCAAAATTCATCACACGATCACAATTGTCCAGTAGTGTTTCATCAAAAATAGTAGAATCTAATAAAAAATATAAATAATAATAATTCATAAATATAAATTGTCAAAATACCCCTGAAAATTTATGAAAATATTTTGATCAATTTTATATTTTTATTAAATGCACATCACTAAAATACATACATGCTCCAAAATCCAGATCATTCCGATTTATAAAAATAAAATAAAAAATAAAACACTACCAAACAATCGTGACCATACGATGAACTTTAAACGGTGATGAACATAAACGA